ACGCAGTGGTAGGCTCGGTGTGTTGAAGCCGTGAACGGAGCGCCAGGACTCAGGAGAGACCCATTTGACCAACGTCAGCAAGATGATGGACTCGGGCATTTTGCTCGTGGGCTATTAATACTTAAGTAACATTTGGGTGGAGTTACTTGAGGATAAGCAGGCAGAGATGAAAGTTGACTATTCTACATTTGTGATACTAGGATAAACCTGAACCCGGCGATGAAAACCATCACCTTCAACGAGACGATGCATTGGGCGATGTGGAATGTTTGCGATGGCGCTCGTTTAGGAGGTCAATCGCCAAGGCTCCCGCATCGATTTCCCCCTACTTTGAATCTCCTTGCCTCCTATTGCCTACCCAAACGGGAAAAGCAAAAGCATCATCCCATCCCATCATTTAGCTGGTCAGCGGGGTGAGAGTATTGTGCTCCCGACTGTACTCCGTAATGGGACCTATCTCGATTATTCCACTGGGTGAATCACACTCTAGTTGTGAGCAGACGGCAAGCCGCATCGGTCTGCGCATCTCATTCAGGCTACCAACTGCAGTAGGATTCGTTGATTGTAGCTATCCATCATCCTTCCATCTACTATCTACTGTTTCCTTGCCGTTGCACTTGCAATTGCGCTTGCCGGTGGTTTGTCGCTTTGCGATCACAACGGGTCGTCAGTGGTTCTTGACCGACGAAGATCAGTGGCAACTGGCAGAGAAGTACTCTCTCAAGTACAGAGGTTCTCCATAAGTACCTTCTTCCTATCAATATTTTCTTTGCTTTTCCTCTTTCCTAATGCTGTCCATCTCCGTGGCTTTTCCCTGACCTGTCACTTTCGCTGAGCATGTCCACCATTTCTCGGGTAACAGCATTCGTCTCTGGCGAACTTTTGTGCTTACTGTGGTCTCGCAGAGGTCTGGTCTGGGATCATCCCTCTAGGTACCTGGAGTCTAACTAGGTACAAAAAAGAAACGATGGTACTTCGCCATCATCTGGAATGCTAGATGTCGCCAAAAATGAAAGCGGGATCATGCACCACCCGATACCATCTTATCAATTCACTACCTGGTCATTCCTCAAGAAATCTTGAAGAAGATATAGATGGAAATACCGAGTAAGTAAGTTCAATAATAATAGTAGTCTACCTCTCCACATACGTACCCTCTTTTTCTCCTGACCCACAAGGGCCACAACACTGTCACCGAATCTGGCGCCGTTCAAGGAAGGGGACTAAGGAACTAGTGGATAATCCCTCCATAACTCACTCTGTCTTGAGTCTAGACAGCCACAATCAATCCCCTGTACTCTGTCTGTATCTACTGTAGATAGCCATCCACTCTATGTGTAGCGACAGCTATTGTCCTCACAACGCCCATCCGGGCTTTGTTGTTCAGGGGTTCAATCAATCACTTTGATACCAGCTTCACCACATTATGGTTGTTCTTCTCTCCAGTCCGAATTAAGCTAATCATGAATTCTAAACCTTTTTCCTTCTTCTATCCACTGTTGGCTTTTCCGTCCCAGTCCATGCAGTAGCTGAATGCGTCTTAACCGTCGACTCTGAGCAGCCTCACTTTCCTGCCTTACCCTTTGCGTTTACAGGACTGCTGTTACTGTTCCCGATTCGATCTTCTGCCTCAGATTCCATGATTCACGTTTCTTTTCTGCTCTCTGGCTCCGCTGTGGTGCTGTGATCGTGCGCTCGGAGGGTCTTCCTCAGTTCTCCATCCCCAGTCTCCAAGTGCATGCGTGACCATATTCAGAATACGTGAATGTCTGCACTGTCTTGCTGAAAACATCCGCTTCTCTTGCCATTGGCTATATCAACATACTTCCTCCTGGCCGCTTTGCCAGATTTGATCTTTACCTCTACTTTTTTGTTCCCTTTGGAGTTTTGGACCGCTTCGTCACTGCGCTGCGCTGCAGTAGATCGCTTGCTTCCACTTTGTTTGCTCTGATCTCAGGCCCTGTAACTTTTCAACCGTCGTTGCTTATTTTCTACGTATCCTTCCTCAGTATTTTCATACCTACACTCTGCCCTATCTGTATGGTTATTACCTAAACCTCTCACTCGTGCTTGGCTATATAGCAGAGCTGTTCTGAGCCGACCTTACCTAGCAACGCCCCGAGAGAGGATTACTTGCGCAAGATCTAATCTAGGAAAATATACGATCAAAACATCAATCCAGGGATCTAATCTGGAACCCGTGCCTCCATTCTTGCGATCACCGCCTGCGATCTACATCCGTTGACAAGCACCAGGCAAGTATGTTTAACCCCCTCACCCCTTCCTCCGCCTTGACCCCAACTGGCCCAGGCAAGGACTGACCAAAGGGCTGATGGAAGGGATAGCAGATCGACCTAGCAACGTGTCCAGGGCTATGGTGTCTTGCTTACATCGGAGGGATTGGACTGCTCAGTGGTCGTGAATCATACAATTAAATCCGAGACGCCCAGACAGGTCTATACCGCTCTCCAGAGGATTATCCACTATCTACACGCAACGCCTCGGGACCGTTGATCGGATGGAGATGGATCTTCAGAAAACAAAGGAGGCGAGGCGCAATGCGCCGGGGAAGGAGGAAGAAGGAACGGGGTGTCCACTAGAAGCATACAACGGAAGCGGTCATTCAATCGACTCCCTCGAGAACGATACTTTAGGTCATCGCGATGGAACCAAACGCAAGAACAGCGGCAAAGATAGCGCAAGAACAGGACAACCATGCTCGGTGAGTGGATCTTCCCTTCTTGATAGTTCTCCCCAAACTAATTTCAGATGCGACGAGATAGGCAACGCCGCCGACCCCTCGGCCTCCTTCGGCTGAAGCGATGAAGATTCCGAAAGCGTTAGATTTGAGCGTGAAACAGCACAAACTACTTCAGGAAGCTAAACGATATCCTCCAGTCACTAAGAGAACGCTGAGCGAGCTCGACCTACCCTGCATCATGAGCAATATCAACCTTCGAATGGACGCCAATTTCGATCGTGACCTACATTTCAAGCCAGATTTAGACGGGGAGAAGGGGAGAAGGAAAAGGAAAGAAGCGGGGGATTATTGGGACGCGATGGCTGCCGAAATCGCAATCTATGCTTTTTGCGCAAACCAGAATGAGGACGCGACAGACGACGACCAGCCGGGTGACCTCCCGCAGACGTTCGAGCCCCGATTGCCTGCCATGTTCGAAACCCTACAGGACGTCCTCAAAACCCTGGTTCCGGAGCGCGACCACCCGGCCGTCACGCAAAACCTAGAGGTGGCTCTGCTCATGCAGCAGGTCCGGAAGGGAGTTCTCGACATGGTTGGGATCGCCAACTGGCTAGCCAGGCTCCTCAAGACACATTGCGCTCCGATGCGAGACGAATGGGCAGACCGCATGGTTGAGCAGATCAGTTCTGGCTCGGAATCGCAGGACTCCATGGAGATTGTCCGCGGGCTGCAGACCCTCTTCGCCATTTTGGAGGCTATGAAACTGGTAGGCTTGAGCTCTACACAGAAAGCTCTATGTGCTGACCTTCTTCGTCTTTAGGATGTGGCAAATCACCAGATCCGCGCCTTTCGGGTTCTCCTAATCGAAGACACTGTCCCCTTCCTGCAAGAGTACTTCCGGAGTAAGATAGCTCGAGACAATTTTCGCGTAGAGGCTTCGCGGCTATGGTACCTGGATGTACGGGAGCAGGAGCGACGCAGCAACTTGGGCAAAAGTGCACAAAACGACAGCTTCCTTCCGATCTCGTTATTATTCCACGGAATAACCGATATCCTACTACAATTCCGCGGCCCCGAAGGTTTCCCGGAAACCTTCGTCTTCGACTCGGACCGCTTATGGCAGCTCCGGTCTGGTCTGCAGAATCTCATCACTCTGGATATCTGCTGGTTCATCTTTGAATCATACGTCCATACGCAGAAACGGTACTTGTCCGCGCCGGCTCAAACATATGCCAGCTTTCGCTCGCGAATTGGGTCATTGATGGAGGAGAACGAAGACTGCCGCCGGGGGTCGCCGCGATGGTTGAAGAATGTGCGCGGGATTGCCCTGGAGATTGCACGGTTTGCGTGTGCAGCATGCTCTGGTGATTCCATGGTCTCAGATGCTGTTATCGCACCAATCGAAGCGACGTTGGAGTGGCATCTGTCCAACGAGTCGTCGGAGCTGTTCCAGTACTTTCAGAACGCGCTGCGACAGAAATTGCTGGTCTCCACGTTTGCTTTTGCCAAAAAGTACCTCAACATGTCGCCTCTAGCCATCTGCGAGTCCCAGCGAAGCTACTCGCATTCGCCACTCCCGCAGCACTACGACATTGAGCGGATATCGATGCGACTAGCACATATTGGCGTCCTGCACTGGAGGGTTTGGGCGCCCATCCTCTACGTGCGCGAGAGCCTGTTACCGACCGACGTGGCGAGCAGTCTGCCAGCTGCTGAGTCGTAACGGCAGTACTGCGCGCATATTTGGGGACGTAGTTGAAAATCAGATTTGCGTCACACGAGCATTACTGCATACGGTCATATCCTTGTGTTTTTTTTTAAATTCGGTCGTTCACTTGGGAGTTTCACTGTCATCTTGCTGGCTTCATCTCCTCGGGTGGCACAGAGCGGAGTTCCTGGTCTTGTTTCGTCATTCATTTCTTGTCCTTTCTTGTGGCTCGCAATTCAGCGTCTTGCATCGGTAGATTTGTCGGGTCATGGCGTCCACATGGGAAGGGCATTCGATCAAAAAGCCTTGCCTTCTCCTGGGCTGGGTGTTGTCGCATACTTTGATAGAGGTAGTACCAATCCGGTATATGCCATTAGCTCGATTAGAATGAGTCTTATCTTATAATATTAATCTCAATTCATTGTTAGATACATGTTATATGTATCATGGTGTGGCATATAACTATAAAATGCATAAATTACGTAAGCAAATATCCAACTTGTGCTGCATAAACAACGTACTACCTTTCCAAGCAACTCACTCAGGCAATGCAATAACAATGCTATACCAATACCTGATGAAAGAAGAGAAATGCGCATATCACTACCCTTCCTCAGTTCATACACCTGGCTCAACAGCCTCAAAGCATCCCAACTGCAGCGCATCGCCCAAGCAACAGGGATCCAGTCCTCAGGGACAAAAGCATGTCTCATCGCCCGGCTGAAGGAGGAACTGCCGCAGCCAGAACCCGAGACCCAAACGAGGACATGCACAGGCACAAGCACAAGCCCTATGAGTATCCTGAGCATCGACATGGGGATTCAGAATCTCGCATACGCGCATCTCCTTGTCCCGCGCAATGGCAGTAGCGATAGCGGCATTGCTACTACCGCTCCGGCAGTTGTGAAGCTGAATGCATGGCGCCGGCTAGCTGTTTCCGATGCATTACTTGAACCCGGGCTAGGCCGTGACCCTCCGGGAAAGACCAAAGAGGGAAGTACGTCGAAGCACGAAGGGAAAGCGAAAGAGAAACATACGTTTTCTCCGGCCGAGTATGCGCGCACGGCGTACGCGCTTGTCACGGGCTTGCTGCACGCGTACCGGCCCAGCCATGTGCTTATTGAGCGGCAGCGGTTTCGCTCGGGTGGGGGCAGCGCGGTGCAGGAGTGGACGCTGCGCGTGGGTGTCTTTGAGGGGATGTTGTATGCGGTTTTGCATGCGCTGGGGTGTGAGCGCCAGCAGCAGGCTGGGGAGGGAGCGGGGATGCGGCCGGTGGTGCTGGGGGTTGAGCCTAGGCGTGTGGGGGCGTATTGGGAGGATCGGCTGGGGGTGGGCGTGGGCGTGGACGGACCGAAAAAGAAGAGGAAGAAGGCTCCGGCTAGGGAAGGGAAGAAGGTCAAGATTAATCTGGCGGGGGAGTGGCTGCGTGCCGGCATGGTAGGCGTAGAGGCGGGCTCGGGCTCGCCGTTTCGTTTGTCTGTCGCGGATGATCCTGAGCTTCGGGCCCTGGTCGATGCGTATCTGCGGAGGTGGGCGGGCAAATCGAATTCCGGGACATCGGTATCGAGGGCTAGGGCCGAAGGGCAAGTTGCAGCAGAGGATGACGGGGCTGTGATTGAACCACCGGATGTACGCAAGATGGATGACCTGGCGGATTGTCTGGTTCAGGGAGTGACTTGGTTGGAATGGCAGGCTATGAAGCAGCGAGTTGCGACAGAGGGGTTGGATGCCACCTTCCAGCTGGAGAGTGGAAAGCTTTGATATATGTGATACCCTGTATAATAGCTTGCGTTGTTTATGAACCTGATATACGGAGTTAGTCTACTCTAAATCATGAAATATCCGTGCATGCTACTCTGTATACAACTAAACATAAGAGTCCGCGGCGTTTCAAGTGCAAGGGTCCAACAAACAATCATCATGATACTGAGTACAATGCCGCATCCAACAACAAGCTATTGTCCCTGACACAGGCAGGCAAACGCAATAAGGGACCATAGAAATGGAATGGATTCGCTCGCTACATAGTCTATTGAGATCATCACTCCGCCGAAATGCAGTAGATCGTGGATCTCTACGTCATTCCTGCGGATCAGAAGTAGTCCATACAATTTGCATAAAAGCACTGTCGCTGAACAAGGTCGAGTATCCGAGTCTCACCAGATGTATGACCAATGACCGCTGGCAATACAGAAATTCAGCTGGGAGCGTCTCCGGAAAACTGCAAAAGAAGCAACTTTGTTGGTTAAATCAGCGAGATCTGGCCAGATTCGCTTCGTGGGAGAAAGTAAAAGAAGCACCAGAAGGGTATAGAAAGATTCCTGCCCCTCCGGATAAGAGGAGAATGTAAGAAAAGTAAAAGACGTCTAAATGAAGTTTGTGCCCGAACTAAGTTTGTACCAGAAGAAAAAATAAGGAGAATCCCTCGTTGAAGAGGTACAACGCCAGCGTGCGTATTTCGCCTCGGAGTCGACGATCTCTTGGTTACAGAACGGCCATTGTCACAGATTCGGATACTCGGCGACTCGCATCAGGCTGGCTGACTTAGTGGCGGCGGAAGCCGGTGGGGTAGGGCAGCTTGCTAGTCTTGAAACCAGTGGGCTTCGCGGCGCCGCTGGGGAAAGGAATGGTGCCGTTGCCGTAGCCATAGGGTGGGCGAGCAGTGGGAGAGGGCACACTGGTGGTTTCGTCGTCGTCCTCGTCCTCATCCTCGCAGCTGTCATCCTCATCGTCGTCGTCCTCATCGTCGTCGTCCTCATCGTCGTCGTCCTCATCGTTGTCGTCCTTGTCATCGTCAGAGTAGTGCTCGTTGGCGCCGCTGTCCTTGAGGTCGTCGTCAACAGCGGAGGTAGGAGTGGAAGCAGAAGGAGCGGTCTACAATTGCGTTGCGTTAGCACCCAAGAGGCCCCGAGACATAAAGGGAATCAATACATACCACAGTGACGGTAGCAGTGACGGTGACAGTCGCCGGGTTGCAGCTGTCTCCGCTTCCAGAGCTGCCAGAACCAGGAGTAGAAACAGCGATCAGAGTAGCGGTGGTGGTAGAGGTGGAAGAGAGTGTGGTAACACCAGCAGAGGAAGTCTATGATACAGAAAGTCAGTCATCGGTTGCAATATGACTCAAGCAGTGGAATGATCAATGCGACATACAGCGTAGACTGTGTGGAGATCTGTCGAGGTCTTGTGGATAGTGGTGGTGACGACTGACTTGGTGCTGCCAGAACCCAGAGTGTAGGTGATAGTGACGTCCTCGCCACCATTGTCGCCGTCGGAGCCACCAGATCCAGGAGTACCAGTGCTGAGAGGGACCGGGGTCGGGGTGATCACAGAGATCGAGCCACCAGCAGCGGAGGAAGACTCCACCGGAGTCGGGTAGACAACGACAGTCGAGGTGGAAGCAGGAGTGGTCTCGTTCAAGCCTCTGGGGTGGAAGAACTTGCGAGCATGAAGAGCCTGGTGGTTGGCCTCACCACCGGCAGCCAGGATGGCCAGAAGAGCGACGGAAAGCTTGCTTGTAAACTGCATTTTCAATGATATATCGCACAATGACAATCAATGCCTGCTGATCTTTCAAATGTTTGGGTTTTCTGTTCTTTCTGGTGACAAGACTGTGCTTGAAAACGAGTGTGGGGGAAGCGAAATCTATTCGCAACCGATAGAAAGAGTGGCTGTGCGTAGAGAAAGGAATGATCTCGGACACGAAGCAGAAGACAGTCTGGGATGAAAAGGAAAACCCAGAAGAGAAGAGGGGGACCTGATGTTGATGTAGGGGAATTAAAAGGAGGGAGGGGCCATCAGCGGCATATTGGTACATTGCAGACTAGTATTGTTTGTAGACTTAAGGATTCAAATTAAACTAATTAAAATTTAATTATTATTATTATGATTATTTAGGTTGTTTCTGCGACGAGCATCCCGTATCTGATACACGGTACATGCAGTACCTTACCCACAAACACTGCTTCAAGCAGGTACCTGGTACCTGAGTTGCAGGCTGCAGCCAGCACTTAGACGAAACTAGATAATCCTCATACATAGTAGTTAAAAAGACTCTGAAGTGGGTGGCGCTCAAGTGGAGAAGCTAAAAGGACCAAATCGACGGTAAAAAGGCTAAATTCTGTATCATGTTATGATGTTGAGCCTAGACGTCGACAGGCCTCAGACAGGTAGTACGTGACAGCCATTTCGAGTCAGTCTATTACAGCCTCTTAGGAAAGGTAACAATGTCTCGTAGAAAATTATTATTCTGATATTGTTGGTAAAAACCCCCTTCTTTCTTTAAGGTATGGATTATTCTCTGTATCTGACACAAAAGGATGGAAGTAATATCCAATTACTCTGGTGGGTCCAAGCTCAGGAACCGCACGCAGATTCGCTGCCGCCTGAGATGAAGGCCCGTTTCAAGCTGTCCTGGTGATCTGTGATTGGCTTGTGTCCCTTGCTTAATCTCGCCGCGTGCCTCCCGTCCGTGGCACACTCTCGCTTTCCTTCCGTTGCTGTGGTGGGATTCTATCCTTTGGTACGTACCTAAGTTTTCCCTCCTTTTTCCACTCTCGCCGTTCGGTTTGCCGGTATCCAGATACATTCAGGACACGGCACAGGTTTACGAGGGATAGGGTTGGTAGGAGAATTTTAGACAGACTGAAGAGTTTGTTGATATACGCCAAACGGTGGTGATTTCGGGGTTGCATGATACCCATATGTCGTAGCTGGAGGTATTTAAATGCCAAGTTAGCAAGTTCAAGGCCCTCGCATGCGCTGGCCATTCGGGGTACGGAGTACGAGGGGGTTACTAAGTAGGCAGATACTCCCCTATAGGTAAGTGGAACTGTCCCGAGAGGCGAAGCCGCGAAGAAACTAGAAGTCGCAAAAAGGATGATACTATCTACCGCTTCCAGTCCCAGGCCCAGCAATGCATTACTTTCAGCATTAAAAGCTACAAACAACGGATCTTGCAGTACAAATTCATTTTGACCTCCTCTGAGATGAATACACTCTGTGCCTCTCGCCAAAGTTATTAACTCAAGTCCTCCCGTCTAATTTTGTATGAAGAAGGTAGCTCTGCCGCTCTGGGTAATTCTGATGACGGGGCACAACTCTTGGTTCCGGTGGATTCTATGCCCCCTTTCCCCTTTTCTCGTCGTGAGATAGGGAAGTAACTATCCATTTCTTCACATACAATGAGCGTGCGTCTTCGGAATCGATGTTAATAGTGCCATTTCCGCGTCTATTATGGAGTACCTTGAGCGACATGCAACCATCTACGGTAAATTGCGAGCTTTGACAATCGCCGATCAACAGTCTTCATACCGGCAAGCGAGAATCGAAAGGCTAGGATAATCTGCGGATTGTCGATTCGAGGTGGAGAACAGAGAGTCTAGACAACGAGCAAATAGTTCTGGACGTCGCGGCATTTTTTCAAACAATCCAAGTTGGTTTTCTCAGAGGTCAAGTTCCTAGGGATTCTATGTCTTCGTTCAGAGTAGACAGGTCGAATTAGTGACCCGTGGCATCTAGATATCTGCACACTCCGCAGACTGAGTTGAAACGTAGTGCGGAGAAACTGTGCTACAGTCTGTGACTTTCTTGGCTTTCGTTCTGCCCGTTCTCGGGTTGGCCACCCTAGTCCAATAATGAATGTTTCACCGTTGGAAGTGGCTTTGACGTCGGCCAGTGGAGGTGATACTGAACAACAAAGCACAGGGGACTTGAAGGTTGAGAGTGAGACTTTGCGTTGTCCGACCCCTTTCTGAACTATGTAACACTGCCTGTACAGCGTGATCCTTATTAATGACAATAATACGATAGACTTAACTACTCAGTAGTACTCCGTAGCATCAACAAGATATCATTATACCTAAAATATATAAACTGGCCCAACCAGTGACAACTTGACGTAGCTCGATACCTGCATAAGTTCTAGATAACTCCCTCCGGAGAGCTTTGCCCTTTACAAAATTTTGATCACAAAAGCATCAGATGATTCAGATCACTCAAGCATTGAGATGTTCTAGTTTTGAAACATGATTCAGACGATCTTCCCCATGCAAATACGGAGTATATACGGAGTACCGTGTTTGAGATTGGAATTTTGAGCGAGTTGAATGAGCCGAACATGGGTCAGATTCCAGACGTCAGGCCTCGGGCCCCAGACAGGGTGGGAATCAAAGACTCTTCCAGGCTGTCCGAATTTGCTCTCAGTGGAGCTGTGGTTTATGAGGCCAATAATCCATGATTATGATCGTCCCCGTGTTAATCAAGCTGATACGACTTGCGAGCTTGCCGAACGGCCTGTGTCTCACAGACCAATTATTTGCCGAGTAAACTGACCTTAGAGGTAAGCATGACAGCATCAAGATCTAGATGCTATCCTGGACCCTGGATAGAACCATTAAACTGGCTCCTCAAGTGCTTCTGATGGAGAAGACAAAAGTTACTGCCTTCGATATCTGCCCTCGTCGTGCCGTGGGCTGCGCATTCTGGAACTGCAGCCGCCCGCCTTCTTAACCTTGGATGATTTTATCAAAATGACCCCACCTATGGACGCCAGTCAGCCGCCTCTGACGTGACTGCATCAAGCGTTATTGCTACCTTAGTTTGACAGCCCTTCTCACTATCAGCAGGCCATATGTGTCTTGCCAGCCAATTGGACTATCATAGTCAACAATCATGGCGAGCAACTCATATCAGGCGCTTCGATCACAATACCAAGCCGCGTTGAAGCGTTTCATCGCTTCTTCCAGGAACCTCGAGATACTCAACGCCGTTCCGTCGAACCAACTACAAGAGCAAAAACAGCCTTCGCAGGCCCCAGATGTACTCTATGTCCTGGACTCATCGTTCAACCCCCCAACTCTCGCTCATCTGAGAATCGCAAGCTCAGCCCTTCTCGAAAAGCCCAGTGTCCCGTCGCGTCTGCTGCTACTCCTCGCTACCCAGAATGCCGATAAGCCATCCAAGCCCGCCGACTTCGAAGACCGTCTGGTTATGATGGAGTTGTTTGCGCAGGACCTGTTATCGCACTTGGGGACGACCTCGTCATCTCCGGCAAATGCGGGCCTCCAACAGATCGACATTGGAGTGACAAAGAAACCATACTTCGTGGATAAGGCGGCGGAGATCGAGCAGTCAGGCGTATACCCAAACCCCCTGGAGCAGGTCCATCTCACGGGCTACGACACTCTGGTCCGGATCTTCAACCCCAAGTACTACCCCCCGGAACATACCCTCCAACCGCTTGGGCCATTCCTTTCGCAACATAGACTACGGGTCACCATGCGTCCCGACGATGAATGGGGCAGCAAGGAAGAGCAGAAGGCTTTTCTGCTCCGCCTGGCTCAAGGCGGTCGCGAGAATGAAGGTGGCAAGCGTGAGTGGGCGCAGCGCATACAGCTTGTAGAAGGGAAGAAGCCGGGCGAGAGGCCCGTGAGCTCAACGAAAGCGCGCGAGGCCATTCAGACGAAGCCGCAGGATCTCGACCGGTTGGTTCCTAGGAACGTCCGGGAATATATCCTGTCCCAGCGGCCGTACGCCGAGTAGCCGAACTCACGGCATCTCCATTATGAATATTTGGAGTAGATTCAGACGGCGCTATCGTAGCGTAATGACTTTTTACTACCTATTTCACGTATTATACATGAGCCGACCACACCGAACCATATATACTGAGACAAGCGATCCAACCAGAACACCCTACTCCACATCATATACCTAGCATCAAATAGAAATACAACGTCACGCAGCAATCGTTTTTCACTCATCATGATCGTCTCTCTTCCCCAGGGTATAAGCCAATCCACCGCCCACCATGTTGAGCAGGCAAAGACCCATGGTCGTGCCGCGAACAATCCCCCGCGCGCCCCATTTCTTCATCAATGGCTGCCGTCGCCGACCTGCAAGCAGAAGATAGAGACCCGACCAGGCGGCGCTGATCCCCGCGCTGTCTGTCTTGAAGCCTTGAATATTCGCATAGCTTGTGAATAGAAGGACTGGGGGAAATAGCATTGGCAAGAACTGGAAGGGACGCATGTGTTGCGCTGTGATGAGTGACGCCAGGAGAGTGGGAGGGAACGGGTTTTCTAGAGGTAGAGGCATACACATCGATTAGATTCTTTTTACCATATCGGATTTGGTATTCATCACAGATTGTATTTCATTGCAAGCTGGGTCCTTACCTCCCCATGCCCTGGCTCGTTGCATGAGAGACTGTTTCGCCTTTTCTGTTGGATCTTCACCAGCCATTGTTCCGGATGACTAGGAATGTCTAGATAAAGGTTTAATAATGGACAAATGTTATAGATTGAAATGCGAGGAGATCTTCAATTAAGAACTATGGGGATTGTCTTCAGATTAATGCTCGGTCGTGCGACAGTAGCTCGTCTGCTCGATAGATAAAATACTCAAGCTACCGCTGGATGAGCGATAATCTGACAGGCCTAGCCTGCGGCTTAGCGTCAACATCTGAACCCCGAAAAGACACCACGTTTATCTCCCAAAGCTAGGGAGGCCAACCATCACAACCCTAC